CCTGGTCCCCCTTTGCTCTTTCTGTTGTCTGTCCTTATACATTTCTCTAAGCCCATAGAATGTACACCACCAAGAATGAGCCCTACTGTATAATGAAACTATGGTCTTTGGATGATAATTGTGTGTCAATATAGGCTCATCACTCACCTGTTGTAAATGTACTACCCTGGTGGGAAATGTCGGTAATGGGAGGATATGTGTGTGTGGGCAGGGCATATGTGGGAAATGCCAAGTTCCTCAATTTTGCTATGTATGATTATAAAAATGGGTTTTTTTTAAAGAATTATTTAACTTTGACCAGAAAGGGTCAGAGAGAGAGAGAGGGAAAGTGAGAACCCCCACTCGCCAGGGAAGATGACCATGCCACAGTCTCTTTGCCATACCCTTAACGACCACACCACCCGCCAGTCCCAAAATTGCTTTAAAAAAATAGTATCTAGGGGCCAGCAGGTGGCATGGCAGTTAAGGGTGCTAGACTCCCACATGGCTGACTGTGGTTCAAGTCCCAGACATGGTGGCTTGCTTCCTCACTTGCTCTCTCAAGCAAGCCACCAAGATCAGGATTCAAATCATAGCCATGAGGGAGTCCAGTGCCCTTAACCGCCACACCACCTGCTGGCCCCAGCCCATAAATAAAAATTCTTTAAAAATAAATAATATCTAGAGGAGCCAGTAGGTGGCATGGTGGTTAAAGGCACTGGATTTCCACATGGTTGACCACAGTTCGAGTCCTGGACCTGGCAGCTTGGTTTCTCACTTTCCCTTTCTCTTGTCAAATTAACAAGTAATAACAAATGGAATTAAGTATATATATGTATATATATATTGTTGTTGGAGAGGTTGGGTGTGTGCGCTTGCCAGAAAGAAACAGAGAAAGCAAGAAATCACTCCCCAACAGGGGTGGCCACGCCGCAATCCCTTCTCCATTCTTCTCTCAGGATCTTGGGCACGCACGCACACGCACCCAGCGTGAGTTTAAGCCACTGGGTCTGGGATTCGAACCGCAGTCAACTACATGGGAGTTCAGCGACATAGCCATTATGCTAACTGCTGGTCCCAATATATATATATATATTTTTTAAATTAGTCTAAAAACTTTTTTTCTAAAACTTTAATCTATGGAGCCAGCAGGTGATGTGGTGGTTATCTATGGAGCCGGCAGGTGATGTGGTGGTTAAGGCACTGGACTCCCACATGGCTGACTAGTTTGAGCACTAGACCTGATAGTTTGCTCTCTCACACTTTCACTCTGTCCCTCTGGCGAATGCATGTACCATCTAGCAAACTTTTTAAAAAAGCAATAAAATAACTTTTGGGAACCAGCAGTTAGCGTAATGGCTATGTCACTGGACTCCCACGTAGTTGACTGCGGTTCGCGTCCCGGACCTGGTGGCTTAAAACTCAAGCCGGGCATGTGTGCGTGTGTGCCCAAGATCCCAAGAGGAGAATGGAGGAGATGGGACTGCGGTGTGACCATCCCCGCTGGGGGGTGATTTCTCGCTTTCTGTCTCTATGTCTCTCTGTCTTTCTGGCAAGTACACGTGCCCTATAGTGAAAACCTCTCCAAAAGAAAAAAAAACTTTTAAAAATCTAAGAGTTTCCCCCTTTTTTAGAAAATGTCATTCTGGGACCAGCAGATGGAAGAATGGTTACATCGCTGGATGCCCACATGGCTGACTGGGATTTGAGTCCTGGACCCAGAGGCCTGAAACCCACATTGCCAGGTGTATGCGTGCGCATGTCCAAGATTCTTAGAAAAGAATAGAGGTACTGTGGCGTAGCCATCCCCCCAGGGGATGATCTTCCTGTCTCTGGCAAGAGCATTTGTCCTATAGCAGCAATCTCTCTAAAAATAAATAAATAAAAATGTCATATTCAGGGCCAGCAGGTGACGTAGCTGTTAAAGTGCTGGACTCCCACATGGGTGACCACGGTTCAAATCTTGGACCTGAAGGCTTAGAAATCACACTGGGCATGAGTTCATATACACCCAGAATTCCAGGAGGAGAGTGGAGGAGATTGCAGTATGATCATCCCCTCTGGGATGTAATTTCTCACTTCTCACTCTTTCTCTTGCCTCCCAGTAAGCACAAGCACCATATGACAAAAACCTTAAAAAAAAAAAAGGTCATATTCTGATGGTGACAATTCTAGAACTACCTAGACATATAGGATAAAGATACTAAAATTTGGAGCCAGCAGATAGCATAGCAGTACGTCGCTGGATTCTCACACATGGTTGATTGTGGTTTCAAGTTCTGGACCCAGTGGCATTGACCTGAAACTCATGCTGGGCACGTGTACAAGCGTGCCCAAGATCCTGGGAGGAGAATGGAAGAAAAGGGATTGCAGCATGGTCATCCCCCCCAGGGAGTGATTTTTCACTTTCCTTCTCAATATTTCTGTCTCTCTCCAGTGAGCACACATGCCCTGTGGCAAAAAAAAAAAACTTAAAATAATCCTAAAATTTTTAAAAACTTTAAAAAATTATTCTATTTAGCTTTATTTATTATTTATTTACTTATTTTAATTTGACCAGAGAGGGACAGAGTGAGTGAGAGAGAGAGAAAAAGAGGGAAAGCAAGAAAGCAAGCCACCAGGTCTAGGCCTCTAACCGCAGTTGGCACGTGAGTCCAGCACCCTTAACTTCCATGCTTCCTGCCACCCCTAAAAAAAACTTTTTAAAGGTTTTTGCCATAGGGCATGTGCACTGGCCATAGGAAGAAGACAGAGGGAAAGTGAGAAATCACTCTCCAGGAGGAATGGGAACACCAGTCTCTTCTCCATTCCCCTGATGCTTTGGGCATGCACATACAGATGTCCAGTGTGATTTCTTTCCTTTTTTTTTTTTTTTTTTTTTTAAAATTACTTTGGGACCAGCAGTTGGTATAGTGGCTACATCGCTGGACTCCCATGTAGTCAACTACGATTCGAGTCCCAGACCCGGTGGCTTAAACTCTCGCAGGATGGTCACATAGGAGTCCAGTGCCTCAACCACTATGCCACTTGCTGGCCCCATAAAAACCTTGTTTTTTGTTGTTTTGCTTTTTAAAAATTTTTGCTATTTGATGCTCACAAGAGACAGGGATCATGAGAAAGCACCCCACCTTCCAGGGAAATGACCACACTACAATCCCTTCTCCATTTTCAGGGAATTTGGCTATGCATGGGAATGCATCCAGCATGCTTTGCAAGCCTCCTGTATCTGGGACTAACCACCTTAACCAGTATACCACTGGCTGGCTCAATACCTTGTTTTTTAGTGTTTAAAGTGAATTGTTATGTACCAGCAGTTGGCATAATGGCTGTGTCGTTGGACTCCCATGTAGTCGACTGCAGTCGAGTCCCAGACCCAGTGGCTTAAATTCACGCTGGGCACATGTGCATGTGTGCCCAAGATCCCAAGAGGAGAAAAGAATAAGGGATTGCGGTGTGGCCATCTCCCCTGGGGGTGATTTCTCACTTTCTGTCTCTGTCTCTCTCTGTCTTCCTGGCGATTGCACAAGCCCTATAGCAAAAACCTCTCCAAAAAAAAAAAATGAAATGAAGAAATCACCCCCACCCCCACCCCCCCACAGGGGATGGCCACACCCTAATCCCTTCTCCTTCGTTCTCTCGGAATTTTGGCCATGCACGCACATGTACCCAGCATGAGTCTTTAGCTGCAGGGTCCAGGACTTGACCACATGAGAGTCCAGTGACATAACCATTACGCCATCTGCTGATCCCTAGAGAGGGTTTTTTTTGCTATAGGGCACATGCACTCACTGGAGAGACAGAAAGGGAGAAATCGCCCACTGGGGATGGCCAAGCCACAACCCCTTCTCCACTCTCCTTGGGTTTATGGGCACATATGCACAGGTGTCTGGCGTGAGTTTTAAGCTGCATGGAAGTCCAGTGATGCATCTGCTGGTCCCCTCTCCTAGCCATATTGAGACTAGGAAATGCTTTAAA